CTAGGAGTCTCCCACAGCATTACCGCATCAATCTTGGATGGATCAGCACTAATACCATTACCTGAAATAACATGCCCAAGAAAACTTACTTCCGACAACCAAAATTCACATTTCGACAACTTAGCAAACAATTGTTTCTCTTTCAAAATTTGTAACACAATCCTCAAATGTTCTTCATGCTCCTCTTGAGACTTAGAGTAGATCAAAATGTCATCGATGAACACAACTACAAAACAATCCAACTGGTCATGAAAAATACGATTCATGTATTCCATAAACACACCTGGCGCATTAGAAACCCCGAATGGCATCACGAAAAATTCGTAATGGCCATACCGTGTCCTAAAAGCCGTCTTTTGAATATCCTCTTCTTTCACACGAATCTGGTGATATCCTGATCTCAAATCAATCTTACTAAAAACACGTGCACCAACCAATTGGTCCATCAAATCATCGATCCTTGGAAGAAGATACTTGTTCTTAATTGTCACCTTGTTCAATTGTCGATAATCAATGCATAACCGCATACTTCCATCTTTCTTCTTAACCAACAATATCGGTGCACCCCAAAGAGAAACACTTGGTCTTAGAAATCTCTTGTCCAACAAGTCATTCAATTGCTTCTTCGATTCTACCAACTCCGATGCCGACATATGATACGGTGCCATCGAAATCGGTCTAGTACCGGGAACTAGATCAATAGAAAAATCAATTTCTCTTTCCGGTGGTACACCCGTAATATTCTCCGGAAACACTTCTGGAAAATCACACACCACTGGAAACACTTCGAGCTCAACTTTACTCTCTACCGACAATGATGCAAACAAACCGAACAATTGAGCTTCGTCCGCTAAAAGTTTCTTCAACTCTTTAATGGATAGAAAACTCTCATCTTCATCATCTTCCAAAGAAGGAAACCTTACTAACTTGTGATAGCAATCTAAATGAACTCTATTAAATTGCAACCAGTTCATACCCAAGATTACATCCAATCCTTCTAACGGCAAATTCCCTTAAATCCGAAAATATCCTTATCCTTTGATATCCAACCGCTTGCTTAATATCAGGACGCAAGCCATTCTCATACTTAATACACTTTGAGAACTCAGCAGTAACTGCAGCATAATGAGAATGGAATTGAACTAACTCTACAGACTTAGCAGTATAGTCCACTACGGACATATTACCTTGCTTCAGCTCAAGGAATTCCATTTCCTTCTTCCGTTTCACACTTTCAGGGTAATACTTCCTCAAAAACTCAGTACGAAACAATTCCCAAGTTATCTCTTCATCATCCACCTCAAGAACCTGTCGCATACCGATCCACCAATCATCGGCTTCTTCCCTCAGCATGTGAGATCCAAGTCTTACCTTGTTCTCTTCAGCATAGTTCATAACTCTGAAAATTCTTTCGATCTCTTTCAACCAAATCTGAGCACCATCGGGATCAAATCTTCCTTTGAAGATCGGCGGTTGATTCTTCCTGAACTCATCATTAGCATTCACATTCGGCGCACCCTACACCGCCCTAGCCATTGCTTCCAAAGCAGCAACCATCACATTGTCGTTACGACCAGCCATATTCTGACCATTCCCAAAAATAACAACAAGGATAAACAACCGCTCAACCAACACAACGACAAGACAGATACAACTGACTCAACACTGGCTCTGATACCACTTAATGTAACACCCCCTTTCTATACCCCTAAATAATCAAAATAACATTTAGGCACATATTAAAAATTCCATCAGAGTATAATTAAAACATGGTATAAAAGAGACATGTCACATTATACGTGAAATTAAAACATACAACACCTGCTCATTTAAAGATATGCAACAATAGGGTAACATGCAACAGAGGAACTTAGTCCTTATACCCACATCTCAACATTTAGAATAAAAGCGGAAAATCTAAACATTGAATCACTTCGAACATGTATATATATATATATATATATATATATATATATATATATATATATATATATATATATATATATATATATATATATATATATATATATATATATATATATATATATATATATATATATATATATATATATATATATATATATATATATATATATATATATATATATATATATATATATATATATATATATATATATATATATATATATATATATATATATATATATATATATATATATATATATATATTCATATCATCCAATTTGATCCACATCAACATCCATGTTTACATAAACAATCATCAGTAGATACATATACAAATATATCACAAAAGAGTCATCTACAATCCTAGCTACCCGATGCTACATATCAGAGCCAACCGACCAAAAGAATGAAGACATGCTTCAAAAAAAGACCTCCAGCCAACCTACTCTACAATGCCTCATAGAGCATCATAAAACAACAGAAGAGTGAGAAATATTATCATAATAATCAATGCATATAATCATATATATATATATATATATATATATATATATATATATATATATATATATATATATATATATATATATATATATATATATATATATATATATATATATATATATATACACACACACACACACACACAAGCATAGAATACCCATATTCCACATTTCTCACCACAATTCATCATAACTCATCATATACACCACAATGTATATATAAACAAATATGGATAATCGCCAAGCATATTCATCATGCACACATCCATAATTCTCATTATTCCACATAAACATACACATATTATGTTTATTTCACTAAATCACATAAACATACACAATCATGTTTATTTCCCCAATGCATCATATAAAGATGACATATGCAAATCATAAAGGCCAACTCGCTACTCTATGCAATGCAATGCGAATTCGGTACCGACTCAAACACCTCTAGTTCACTCAGGAACTTATTGTAAACCATCGCTCGTTACCAATGTAACTCCCCGTCGGGCATACGATGTTCACCCATTGCTCCCACCCCACATGGGCACACAATATTTATGGATTGCTCACACCCCACACGGGCACAAAATTCGATTGCTCACACCCACATGGGCACATAATTGTTTTGCAGATTCTACTCGGAATCAATTGTAAACCATTGCTCACACCCCACATGGGCACACGATGTTAATGGATTGCTCACACCCCACATGGGCACACAACCATTATGCAGATTCTCCTTGGAATCAATCAACACAAGAATGCACATCATGATGCTTCACATGCAAAATGACTCATGACATTCTTGAAATGCATACATATTCACAAATATATTTCATGCATTCTTCACATACAATCGCATACAATCAATATGCATTCACAAAGTATATTCCATGATATACATATATTTATCATTCATCACATACCATTTCATACAAGGTATACACATTCACATCCATCCCATCATGCATTTACGTTTAATTTAGACAATGCATATAATTGCCAAACGGCCACAATTCACAATCGATTCCACAATCTAGGATTCACGCCATACGGCTACCCACAGCATAACATATCATAACATATAACTATACCTTAAGAGAAAGGGTTAATTATATTCGAATCGAAGAATCGACATTGGATGGAAACAACAAGAAAATTAAACACTGTCACGTTCGCTGGACCACTCGCCTGGCGAGGTCCTAACGAACACTCGCTACTGTTCACGTGGCGAACACGCCAACGAAGGCTGATCCTGAGCTACTGGAATGGTTCTCTACCCATTCGCTGGGCTTCGCCTAGCGAACACGCTCGCTACCTCCTTCGTCTGGCGAACGCGCCAGCGAAGGCTGATTTTGGCTACTGGAATGGTTCGCTACCCACTCGTTGGGCTTCGCCTGGCGAACACGCTCGCTACCTCCTTCACCTGGAAAACGTGCTAGCGAAGGCTGATTTTGGCTACTGGAATGGTTCGCTACCCACTCGCTGGGCTTCGCCTGGCGAACCTTCGCTTCCTGCTCGCCTAGCGAACACTAGCGAATCTGCGAACTTAGAATCCTTAATTGTCCAAAATCATCAAATCATCACAAAATCAACCGATTCAATTCCAATAAGTTCCAGTAGTCTTAGCCCAAAAATACCCGACTAAACTACGTCATTCATTCAAGATTCTAACCGTTCAAACATAGATTTCTACCGATTAATCCATTTCGACCTAAAATGGAAAAAGATGGAAAAACATCCAAACAATCCAAACACACACATACATAATCATACACATTGATAAGATAATAAGATTTCACACTCTTACCCGATTAAATCGAATCCTAGAGGTTGATCTTGATGATTTCCGTGAATTTTCCTCTCTTTCTCCTCTTTTCTCTCCTTCCTCTTTCTTCTCTCATTTTTCTTCTTAATTCTTTCCATTATATTTTCTCTCAAAATATCTAATAATTCATTTTCTCACAAAATATCCAACTTAATCATTAATTAACAATTGTCTAAAATACCCTCCGACTTATTTTCGCAAAAACTCTCAAAATCGGTAAAATAACATAAGATGCAAACATAACATATTAACACATCAATTCCGCAATTAAAATAATAATCACCCAATTAAATCAAAAAGACTCAACAAAAATGGGAAATCAGAATCGGGGCGTTACAAATTCCACCTAGGTCACCCATGTCCCTCAACATGCTTTGTGGAGTATCTATCAAATGTCTTTATGGTCATCCAATTACGGAAAATGTTAGATCAACAATAAAGTACTTGACTCTACATCCAAAGTCCATAGTAGTTTCAGGTTGAAGGGTGATATACACCATTATCACCATGAGAGTAACTTATGACACTTTGCATAACATTCTATGTAATACTCTCATAGCGGACCAATCCAGTATAAATACTACTCCTAATATTCATACCTATATTCAGATTTGATAACTCCTTATCCATGATCCATGAGATGTGATAATCAATTTATCTACATATTAGTCTTAATGCTTTAAGGTTATCCCATTTCACAGTAAAGCTCGATTACAGATACTTTAAAAACAGTGTCCTTATGTTTAATGGGATCTCATGATTAAAGCGGTATCACGGTCGATAACAATTACTTTCGGCATCTCTTCTTGGTCCCTCAACATTGTCGGACACACCTCTAAAGCCCAAGTAACATTCTCCTTCTTTTCCCTCTCTAGAAATGCAAACCCGACAAAATATGTCTTCTCAGTAGAGGTAACACTAATAATATCCAGTAGTGGAAGTCTGTACTTGTTGGTCTTATACGTTGAATCAATGATGAGAACAATAGGAAACGTGTTGGACAACTTGATGGAATGAGGATGAATCCAAAATATATCTCTAACAATTACTCCATCCTCGCACTTCTGGTACTTGGAAACGTAATTGTTATCATCCAAAAATTTCAATAGTTTTTGCATTTCACTTCTATCCCCCCTTAGCGCCTTATTATATCGGCACTGAATATTGTACACATGCTTGATATTTGAGATGTTTTCATATCTTTTACGTTTCAAAGTTGCAAGTATGTTTTTTGGTTGAACCTGATTCAATGCCATGTCTGAAACACATTCATTTACTTCCAGCATGAGGTGACACACAATTGGATGATCAACTAACTTTTCACACAAGTCATGGTTATGTAAACCACATATGACATCAAATCTCCATTTCTTATTTTCCAACATATAATCACGCAACTTAAAGGGACACTCACATTTTCTTGAACCGGTGTCATTGTCACAAATGCACCTCTCTTATCCTAACCATTGTCAAATCTTCCAATTACCACACCAAATCCTAGTTTGGATGACTCTGTAAGAATTATTGAATCATGTGATCACGAAATTCAAACTCTTGCTCATTTTTAAATTGGTTGTCAACATCTACCTACTTCACAGCAACAACACCTTTGGCATCTAGAGACATAACATGTTTGGGGAAAATATTGAGGTGTGTCATATCTAACGAAAGCAATCACAATAAAAAACTTCAAAACTGCTAAAACTATAAACATAGCTGAAAAAATGAGAACATACAGCCTCCTGAGATGCATCTCCGTATGAATTCAAACAAAATCCGGAGATCCATCTCTGAATTCAATCCGCATTTTTTCAGACTAAAAACAAACCTAATGTGATCAACGAGGTTTGAAATGAATGATCTTGACTGAAATTTCAACTACTTATGCTTCTTTTGATGTGATGAAACACAATAATAAAGATTTATAGTGAAAATGTTGATTGAGAATGGAAGAGTTTTTGAAAAGAATTTGGAGTGAAAAAAAGTATGAATGTGGCGAATATTTAATAAATACATCTCCGAAAATATCTAGCATATAAATGTGGCAAATATTTCAAAATTCCACTCCAAACCTCTGATGATGCATTTTCGAAATATTCATTAACCTGCTCAAATATCAATATATTTGTTAAAAATACCTGAAGATACATCTCTAAAATAATATTTTATTTAACTCTAGATGACACTTATTTAATGTATTATAAAGTAATAAAAAAATATGTTTGAAAATATATTTTTAAAATTTGAATAACACTTTTTTAAAATTTGAATTACAATTCTCAAATAATTTGATTTAAAAAAATACAAAGGTAATCCTGTCCGTCTCGTACGTAACTTTCAACTTGAGAAAATATCTAATTAAAAAAATATTGTATTAATAACGTATTATTGTTAAGTATATATGTACATAGATGATTTTGATATGATGCTGAATATGTGGAGCAAATTTATGTAAGTGACATCAACCACATGTTTCTCACAAATGTATTAAGCAATATAACATTTCTGTTTCTTTGTATTTTAGATTTAAGCACTCCTTACTTTTAGTAATTGACCGTATCGATAGCGTTTGAAAAAGAACATATTTTGCTACAATTATTGACCGTATTGAGTAATTAATTAGTTATAAAATTTGAAATTAAACAGTCAAAATCAAGTATAGTATTGTGATCTCTCTTTCGGCTGCTCATGATATGATAAGGATACCTGTCTGGCCTCGTCCGGATGGGCTGGTTTCTGTCCGCCGGTGTTAAGGAAAAGGTGGGGGGTGTACCTGCAAAGAACTCCGATGCCAAAGTAAGATGTTTGGACAAAGTGATGCAAATACAGAGGGTAAGAAGTGAATACCTGACTCTCTTCAGGAAGAGGGTATTTATAGACCCCAGCGCTGGGCCAACGGTCCTTTGGGATGGACGTGCAGGCCCAACCCAAAGGACTGCTAGAGCTGATGTGGCATCGAGAAGACCAGGATGTGGTATTCGCCCTAGTCCAACCGCTCCATGATCTCCGGAAAGTACGTCTGATCTTTCGGGAGTGGGTGGTTGGATTCTGACGTGTTTCCGCCAAAAGGGGAAACCCGTGGAGACCGTGTCGTGTTCGCGATCTCCCGGCCGAGGAGATCCTGTCTGTGGTGTGTCCTACAAGTGGAGAGACGTGCTCGGTTCGCTGCATGTATCGGGCACGTGGTTTATGCTTCAGTGCACGAACCGTGCCCGGCCTGGGAGTCAGGTGGTGCGGGCGTCTTAATGTCAAGTATGTGCCCAGTGGACCTGCCACAGCTCGTGCGATTCATGGGTTTACCCAGGACGTCTTTGGGCCTTGGAAGTGATTGGGCCTGACCGGTTGACCGGGGCCCAGTCCAGAACAATAAAGATGCCAAATATTTTCTCCTATCAACTTCTATACACTCATGAGGATGTTGATGTTATTGTGCTAACATCAAATTTATCCTTCGTCCAAAACCTCTTTGAGGGGGGATAAGATGGAAAATACTTTTGAACTTGGTCACAACATGTTCAAAAACGTTTCTATTTTTTCTCCCGTCTCTGCTAGATGGGTAATGTTTTGGCTTCAGGTAATCCTTATAAAAAAAGGGATACTTGAAAAGGGAAGGTTGAATCTATGGAGTTGAAGTGCCTTAATATTCAGGAGGATATTGTCGTGCTACGTGAGGAATGGAAAACTATCAATTCTTTGCAAAAGGAGGGGAGATACATGACTCTCATTTAGTTATGGTTTTTGGTATGATTGAGTTGGAGGATTCTCTTCAAGATACGGAGAAGCGGTACAAGGATGCTTCTGATTTGGCTGAGGAGAAGGCACGTCATGTAGAAGAGCATCAAAAAGCCTATCTTCAAGCGACCAACGTCCATGTAGAGGCCTTGAAAGTTCTCCAGGACAAGGTAGCCGATCTGAGATAAGCGCTTCATGACTCTTTTCAGCAGACAATGAAGGAGGTGTTTGAAGTTCGTGAATGAGTTATAGAGTAGGCAAGGAAGTTATTCCTTGTTGTTGCAATTTCTCTTGAGGCACTAGATCCTTTAAAATATGCTCTTAGAGTGACTCAAGGAGGTGGCTCTAGTGCCCCGACTTCAAATGCTTCGGCTTAATTTTCCTTTTGTATTATTTATTCCATGCAATGTTTCCCAGATTTTTGTACCTTAGGTGTAACGATTTTGAATATGTAATGAAATATTTTACCTTGATGCTTCAAGTACCATACACTTTACAGCTTTACGTTGATTTTTCCTTTAACATTATTGTTGCTTACAAATTATTACAACTTTGGGCTTGCTCTTTTGCTTTGTGAATTTTTTTTTCGCTTTAGAGTTTAGGTCGAATCGCCGATGTTCCTCAACTATGGTGGGATATCTGTTTTGGGAGTGAGAGCCTTTACTATTTTCTTTATGGAAGAAACACCGCATTTGATTCTAATGAAGTGGCAGACATGCCTTGGAATTCTCCTAATATTTGCAACTAAGGTGGATAATCATACTTAGGGATTTGGGGTGAGACTTCATTTCTAAAGGTATATCTCTTCGTTGGACGGGGTGTTGAAGTACCTTACTTTAGGACTCACCTGCCAATGTGCGATTGGAAGATCGTTTAAGCGACCATAATTCATCGAATTTCTTTGTCAAATTCTTTGAAGGGATGCCTTTTGATCGTCGGTGTCGGGTTCCTTACCTGTCGAGTATTTCCTTTAGAATGGAGATGTCGAGCAAAGATTGTAGGTAGTCGTTAATCGGTCTCCTTTCCACTAGAGTACGAGGTGAATTTATTTGGGCATGCTTGGTGACCCTCGAATTTTTGACCCGTTATAAAGAGACCTATTGCATTAAGTGGAAATCTCGTGGAACCAATGGGATGCACTCCGACATTAGATCGACAATCAATGTTAAGTACAAACTTGTAGTGAAGGGAAATCTAGATCCAAAACACAACGGAAATTAAAATTTTCTCTTTAGTGATCCTTACTAATGGGCACGATTAGTGATAGAAACCATTACCTCTTGTGACAATAAAACCTTTGATGCTGAATCGAATGAGTGATCACGAGCTTTAAATGTTGAATAACACCTCTACTTAGTCCACATGAATAGATTCCTTTAGTCTTAGTACTAGATGTTACGATTAAAGGCTTTGAGCGAGAGAGTGAGTGAATGAGTGAGTGAGTGAGAGAGAGAGAGAGAGAGAGAGAGAGAGAGAGAGAGAGAGAGAGAGAGAGAGAGAGAGAGAGAGAGAGAGAGAGAAGAGAGAGAGAGAAGGAAAATACGATTATGGTTTCACAGTCCTAATTTTTATCAAGAGTGAATGCTTATACACAAGGGTTCTATTTATAGAACCACTTGTATGGGATGCAAGCTAAAAAGCCCACTTAAGTACACGAGCACCATATCTTATGGTGTACCATATATCACCTAAGTGTGTGGTACCTTACCATATTCTGTATTTTACTTAAGTGCATTGTACCTTACGATGTTCTACATTTACTTAAGTGCATTGTAACTTATGGTGTTCCTTATTTACTCTTCCTCTTATCAATCTGTCCTTATGTGTGTGACCCTGTAGGTTTTCGCGATGTTGACAATTATATTAAATCATGCATTTAACATAATAAACAGTGAGTGATATCTAGCAACATATCACTGTTGTCCAAGTAACAAAAATTTCATGTGATATGACAAAACCTTTTGTGATAATACTTGTGTGTACAATTCCCATTTTACCCTTATGTCTATTGAACACAAGGCATATACACTGTCATCCTTGTTCAGTTCAATATTGGGCCCTTAGACCTTTATCCTGTTATGTAGAATGGAAAAATTCCACGTAGGTCACCCATGTCCCTCAACATGCTTTGTGGAGTACCTATCAAATGTATTTATGGTTATCCAATTACGGACAATGTTAGATCAACAATAAAGTACTCGACTCTACATCTAAGGTCCATAGTAGTTTCAGGTTGAAGGGTGATATACACCACTATCACCATGAGAGTAACTTATGACACTTTGCATTACATTCTATGTAATACTCTCATAGCGGGCCAATACAGTATAAATTCTACTCCTAATATTCATACCTATGTTCAGACTTGATAACTCCTTATCCATGATCCATGAGATGTGATAATCAATTTATCTACATATTAGTCTTAATGTTTTAAGGTTATCCCATTTCACAGTAAAGCTCGATTATGGATACTTTAAAAATAGTGTCCTTATGTTTAATGAGATCTCATGATTAAGTCACA